CGATCAATTGCTTCTCTACGAGCTTTTATCCATGAATACGGTTTGCAATGATCCGCAGTACTTGGCAGGGTTTAGAGGCATGATAGTTTCTCCTTCCGTTTTCCATACATGCACTGTATAGAAAGACTAGTAAAAGGGGACACACTTTCTCTTCAACGAGTCGTCCTCTTTAAATCTAGCTCTTGAGAATTCAGAGATGCAGAAATATCAAGATATGAATAGATATATGTTTTTTTCACTACTTATTTTTTCCAAGAGTTATTGTCGTAGTTGTTAAACCTGCCTGTGTTTATAAAAATTCAGACTTGAAATACAGACTGCCATACAATTCAATTACATACAAAAACATTTAGTTACTTGTTTTATGAGTTGGTTCGTGTCATAAGCTGTGCTTCCAAGCGAAGTGGCCGTAAGGGCTTTTGAAAATTGACTACGTGTTTAACAACGTGAGCAAATTTATTCTCTTCCAGTTTGTTCTGTTGCCTAAACAAAAACTGCATGTTCCTGCTTTCATTTCATTCAAAGAATCGGAGAAAGTCTGCGCTCGCGCCATCCTCAATCAATACATTTTATGTTTCCTGTGTATGCAAGTGTGCACCTTCACGTAATTCTAAGCGCTGTCTCACTCACAGACTATTTGTCGCTATGCAATGCAAGTGTAGCTTTTTCGTCGTTTGGTTATAATTTGCAGCCACTCTGTCTCGAAACTTTTTCCTTTTCACTCGACTGAGTATCAAAGGCAGAAAAAATGGATATTAACTGCAATGAGTTCGCTGAAAACGCTGAGAGTTTGCTTCGTAAGCACTTTCAGTATGGATGTACTTTCACTTCCCAAGTATATATCCACCTAAAAGATCGCAGCTATTGGGAAAGATTGCGTTTTGTATCGAAATTTTAACCTGTGCAGTTAAAGTCGGTCATTTGACGGGTGAATAATGAGCAGCAATACACTGATATAGGTGTTTGGTCACGATGTGTTCAGTTTTACTCGTACCCATTGTTTCGAAACTTATTCCTTTTCACTCGACTGAGCATCAAAGGCAGAAAAAATGGATATTAACTGTATTGAGTTCGCTGAAAACGCTGAGAGTTTGCTTCGTAAGCACTTTCAGTATGGATGTACTTTCACTTCCCAAGTATATATCCACCTAAAAGATCGCAGCTATTGGGAAAGATTGCGTTTTGTATCTAAATTTTAACCTGTGCAGTTAAAGTCGGTCATTTGACGGGTGAATAATGAGCAGCAATACACTGATAGAGGTGTTTGGTCACATTGTGTTCAGTTTTACTCGTACCCATTGTTTCGAAACTTTTTCCTTTTCACTCGACTGAGCATCAAAGGCAGAAAAAATGGATATTAACTGTATTGAGTTCGCTGAAAACGCTGAGAGTTTGCTTCGTAAGCACTTTCAGTACGGATGTACTTTCACTTCCCAAGTATATATCCACCTAAAAGATCGCAGCTATTGGGAAAGATTGCGTTTTGTATCTAAATTTTAACCTGTGCAGTTAAAGTCGGTCATTTGATGGGTGAATAATGAGCAGCAATACACTGATAGAGGTGTTTGGTCACGTTGTGTTCAATTTTACTCGTACCCATTGTTTCGAAACTTTTCCCTTTTCACTCCACTGAGCAATAAAGGCGGATAAAATAGATATTAACTGCATTGAGTTCGCTGAAAACGCTGAGTATACAAAAATTTACTCAGCTAGAGTTTGCCTCGTAAGCACTTTCAATATGGATGTACTTTCACTTTCCAAGTATATATCTACCTAAAAGATAGCAGCTATTGGGAAAGATTGCATTTTGTATCTAAGTTATAAACTGTGCAGTTAAAGTCGGTCATTTGACGGGTGAATAATGAGCAGCAATACACTGATAGAGGTGTTTGGTCACATTGTGTTCAGTTTCACTCGTGGTGTGTCTGAGCATTACAATCCAGAAGAACCTGTATTTACACCGGAGTCGTTTGGCTACGATCCTTTAGAAAGCACCGGTCGAGAATGGTATTATCATCCCGTAGATGAGTTTATATTTCAAGAATACAGCGATAGAAGGGATACAGCTTTTTCTTATCTTCCTTCATCGAGTCTTAATGTGACATGTATAGACGCGTGCGCACCGGAGGAAAATGAAGAGACGTTAGGCGGCCAACAAGATGAAGATCGAGCAATGGCTTGGAAGCGGCTCAGACCATCCACTCTTTCCACAGTGTGGAAAGCACTGTGCACCAGTGCTTTGATTTCATTGTTGACTGCTGCTATTATCGGTGTCCTATATATAATGATAACCTACGTCTGCTATCAAACCATATACAACTGCCAATTTCATGACACGGAGACAATTCCTGAGAAAGTACAATGGATCAGAACATTGTCTGGCATCACAGGTTGTGTTTTCCTGTACTTGTGGTTCTTTGGAGGAATGCTTTTACTTTTCCGACCATATCAGATCATGGGGTTGAAGGGGAAACTGTTCTTAGTAGCTTTCCTCCTGTTTTCTTTGGATGCACTTTATCGCGTGGCTCTTCAACTCCTTGGAATATCTCATTCTAAACTTTCTGTGTTAAAAAAGATTCCATTGAACGTACTTTTCCTCTCCAGCGTATGTTGGCAAATTTATCTCTTAACAAATGCGTTTCGCTCGCTATCAAAAAGGCTGAATTTATTTTTCAAAGTGCTGACGCCAAGTTGTTTCCCTTTCGCAATCGGCATCTTCATAGCGTCTTTTATTTACCCGATGTACAGCAAGCAAGATGGGAAAGGAAAGCTACTTATAGCAATCTTCTCGCCTCTCATCGGGGTCGTTCTTAAGGTGATCTCTCGAATATGCGTTCAGCGGTTATGGCGCATAACTCATCCAGGACGTTCGTTCGTCTTGTTAGCGCCATTGTATTTTGGAACAGCGGTTATGTTTCGAGTGTTGCAAGCAGAGCTTGACAGCCTTAAATCCATAGCTATCCTTGGAATAGTCCACGGCGCTGCAGAAGTCATAGAGAGAAGCACCATGGTTATCATTGATCACGTTTGTCATGTAATTTTAGAAAGAAAATCAGCTCCTTGGGGAAGTTTCCGCACTCCACGGCGTGAGCGACTAATGGCTGATGTCGCTATTTTAAGCATGCTTTATGAATCAACTGCTATTGTTTCTGTTAACAGCGTTTTGTACTTGTATCAACATATTTACTTACAAAATATTCCACTTTTAAAGCTGCTGCAGAAATTTGCAATACATACCTCAGTTGCACTGGTTATTGAATGGTTTTTCACCGGCGCATCATTGGCCATCGAGACTCGTTATCAGAACATCGCAGTTATGGCCGTTTGGCGAAAAAGATGGAAAAGACACATTTTGGTTGCTATAGCAAATCTCGTTCCATTGGCAATTTGGACGACACCCAACCTCTTGGAAATTGTACATGGGCGCTTTTATGAGTTTCAAAGCCACCCGTGCAAAATGCCCTTCGCTTAGAGACTTGGAAATCATTTCGCTGGCGTCCGTTCAGCCTTTCCACGGATGACGGTCTTGTAAGCTTCTCTTCGATACCGCCTTACATTATTCGGTTCGTAGCGGAAACGAACTTTATGAAGAAAGAATCCATGTTCCGTCTGCTTGTACAGAGAAAGGAAACTCTGACCACAATGATTATTTCTAAAAGACCTGCGAGGATGAAGATTTCATTGGAAAGAATAGCAGAGATTGTGTGTCACTAAAATACACTCTATTCGATCTAGCGCTTTGAGGCAATTAAATATGGAGAGCTTCAGCCTACAAATTGAATTAATCACAGCTCTTATGGGCTACGAACATTGTCGTAATGAAACAGTCAGTGACAATATTTTGTTTGAGCATTACGCAAACCGCACACAACACCAGTATCGCGCTCGTATGGGTCTGCTTAGCACCTCTTTGGGTTTGGGTTCAATGACATACGCCTGCACATTATTTGAAAAATAGTGCAAGGGCTCGATTTGGTATCTTAGAGACACATAACATAAGACTGCTACGCATTTATAGCTTGAAACTTGCCTTCGAATTCTTTGAATCATGTAGGTAGAAATTCTTTAGAAAAACTCATAAAAATACAGAGCATAAGGATACCTTAACAAACTGAAAGTTGCAATACCCTATAGCTTTAATGGTCACGAGGTGAAAACCAAAATAACTTAGACTTAAACACTCCATGTAAATTGGTTAACTAAAACTACATGGACAATGCTTGTCGGTTACTATACTTAACCAATTAGTAAGTCACCCAACATACAGTTAACTCTGTAATTTATATACTGGTTGTTTCTCAGCATAATGGTCGCACAGACATTTGCGTTAGAAGTTTGTTGCACAGTATTTTTACGTTGTTGCTTTACTGAATTCTTAATTCTCAGTCTGGTTTCTATCCAATAAATAGATTCAATGTTGCCGCAGGAGATTCAAAATTTTTTTTTATCACATTTTGACGCCATATGTGATCTATTACTGAACAAACGCACGACAACATGGAACATGTTTGCTTTATATGATAAAGAAGCAAAACTGTTTTGATGGCTCAGCTGCGCCACATTTTGACGTAAGCTGTGATCTGTTACTGGACAGACCCACAGCAATATGGTATATGTTTGTTCTAAACAATAGAGAAGCAAAACTGTTTGATGGTGACGTTACCTATGCGTCTGTCCTCTGATAGATCATAAGTAAGAGGCAATTAAAACGCGCGCGTAATATAGCTTTTTACAACTTACTTAACATATACACAGGAAAAGGATTTTATGTACACCAATTACCTCCGTTACAGGTACTTCCTGGGAAAGTATTTAATGTTTAAGTACGAATAGATATATAACTTTGAAAAAAAACTAATTATACAATAACAGGAACAAAAACTTTAGGCAGTCATACCCTGATTCATCACGCAACAAATATAGAGAATTATGTGACAACCTCCATTTATAGGATGGGGTAGATATGATTATTTGAAGTTTTATGATTAAAGGCGAAAATCTTATGTTATTATATCAATGCCCTGCAAATAAACATACCAGTAACCCAAATTGTACAGGGCATATGAAAGAGGAAACAGAAGTCGACACGCAAAATCTATTTTTTCTGGGAGAGTTCTTTTTTTCATCCCACATTTAGTTCTGGGTGACTTTGGGTTTCCTTCAAGACACTGTAAGAAGCTGCCATTCTTCTGCGATAGCTCTGGTGTCTCGTCATTCGGGCCAGTGTCGTTATGAGGGGCTGTGGCCGTCACTGGTAGGACATGAACTCTTCCCTTAGCTGGGGACTTGACGGAATCACCTGATATGTTCAAAGTTTTGGAGCTCCTGCGATGACGTAGGTCCAGTTTGCTCAAGGATAATCGAGAAGTGTTCTACAAAATCATTCAAAAAAATTATCTTTTCGATTTGATTCACTGTCACGACCATACGGGGATCGAAACCTCGGATCAATGTCAGTATCTACCCTTCCCCTGGCCTAACATTAACTTTAACTTGCTATCAGTTGACTGTGGTTGGACTTGGGGGAGGGGTAAGTGCGCAGTTTCTCAGATACTGATATTAATCTCAATCTAAATATCCCACGCACTGTCCCTGCAATATCTTTTTAAGGAGGGAGGCTGTTTAGTCTCTCTAGGTCAAAAGAAGATAATTTCACCATTGAAAAAAAAGTGGAAACCTCATTACCAGTCTTTTGTTGTGTATTCCTTCCTCCTTGTTTTCTTCATTTTGCTTCTCATTTGCGAGTCTCTCTACCAGTACACACTCAACCAGGGACAGAAAGACAAAAAGAAATAACGTCATTAGAAACCAGTCCACTCCTTTCACATAGCTCACCTGCAATGAAGTTACATGTGTCGGGTATCAAATAACGCTCAAAGTTATGCGATATTAATATCTCTATATAAATTTATAGAACTTAATCAAATTTTCCTGTTTTTTTTATTTTGTTTGGCGTGAGTTACGCAAACGTGACACTGAGCCAGAAATACACTTTGAATACATATTGTTGAGAAGTATTATCCACAGATAGAAGTATTTTGAGGTGTGAGAGGCACGGATGTTGCATATTTGGTAACGTCATGATTTAAAGTTCTTCACTAGTAAATGGGTTTGCAACGAGCCTTGGTTGTCAACAAGGGCAAAAATACATTTATTCTTTTCTAAATTAATTTTAGATATGTACGGCCAATATTTATACGGCGTACGTCTAATTTTTGCAGAGAGCGAAATTTGTTTAACTATTTTTTTTTTTTAAAAAAAGGTGTCCTTCTTATGATGGTCTTCTTGACTGTTGACAGCCTAAAGCATAACGAATTTTCACGAATCCCTGCACACCACCGTCTGTTAAATGCATTTCATGTTTTAGTCATGAGAGTTCTCTGACCTTAGGCAGCATGCCGTTGATGTAACCCAATAAGAAAACAACTGTGAGAATGCAAGTGATGCCGACAGTGAGCCTTTCATCTCCATTATCAGGACTCATCCAGAACACAATCCAGCTCGGCATAACGAGGAAGATAAATGAAAGGTACAGCTGGATCATGTTTGTCATTCTTAATTAAACAATGTTTACAAATATTCACAACACAGAAAACCTCGAAATCTAATATTTAACAAAAAAATAAAAAAACATCGGCAAAAAAAATTCACTCTTACAACAATATCTACAGAATCGTATGTCTAACCCTTGGTAAACAAATAGAATCTGCTTCATTACGGTTAATGAAATAAAACTACGAAGTGACAAGAACAAACCTTGCACAAAAATGAGTGAAACATATTTTTTACCACCTGAGGTGGATCATATGTAAAAATCAGTTCTTAGTTGGTTTAATTTTGTCGAGTGTAAAATTCCATAGTTACAGAACGAGTTTTTGCAAAGTAATTGTTGATTTTTGTGGACGTTCAAACGTTTATATCGCCAATGTAAATCTCTGTTAATATACAACTATCATTGCTTTTCTGACACAAACAAAATGATAAGGAATATTATTATATATTACAGTAACTATGAAAACTCTGATTTGTTTGAGAGAATTCAGTCATTATACATAGGCGTGTGAAGTTGACATGATAACCCAATATCTGCAGCAGATATTGGGTTACTATGTTGAGTTTCTCAAACTTTTGCAAACTCACAGAGAAGTGTCTTCCTTGGCAGATTGTTTCAAAAAATGTATGATAAAATTATTACTTAATCAATTTTTTTACATAATATTAAGGACAGGAAATTGTTTGGCTCTCGGTCATGATCTCGAGTCAAATATTCTCCCGTCTGGCTCTTCCACTCAGTCATTAAGTAAATAAAATTGGAAAATGAGACATAATAGTCAATATTGCAACCTCGTTTCTTAACCCTCACCCCACCCCTCAGGATGAAGAATGGGACGTTTCAGTTACGCACTAGCAGTTGAACTTCAAGTTAAAGGGCAAAAGTTTACCAATATTGCATTTAATTAAGCGCATAGCCTAAAACTTTAGAACAGATTGGTTTACGTCTATTTTTAGCGGAATATTGAAGGTCGCTATTACTGATATTGAATCGTAATAAAAATTCTTTTTGATCTTAAAACTCTGAAGCGTTGAATTCGTGCTTGAGTGCATTTATACTCAAGCGTGAAGTTCAGTAGATTGATTTTAAGAGTCTCGTGAGAGTTAACTCTGTTTTTCCAATCTACCAATCATCTTGTTGAGTGCGTGACTGCTGGACAGTAAATTATTTCACTTAGACACAGTCCGGTCCCAATACTCTGCCTGGAAAAGTTTAGAACTATAAATGTACCTCAATGTCCGTATGTACATGGCATGTATATGTTAAAGGAGATATGAGGCATTTTTTTATACCGACAAGAAAGGTGATATTCTTGAAAGCTCCATGGTAAGATCCTTATAAAACGAGTGCACATTACAAACAGCGCCCGCACGCTTTGAAAATTCCGTGTGTCTTGACTTTTTGTGATGTTTGTTCACGTACATTATTAACAAGTAATAACATGATTTCGCTTGCATTTTGCTCGGGCTTATTAACTCCGAATTGGACTCGGAATCATGTTAGTACTAATACATATATCTTAACAGACGCTTTGGTGTGTAGTACCGCAGACACGTAAAACAAAAGTACAACGAGTAAAACTGCTCATCGATATTACACACCAAAACATCTAATAAGTTATTCATTATCTATGCAACTGCTTTTTTTTCCTGCTAAGTCTTTCTGCTCATTTCTCATAAGGCGGGAAAAGCAAAGCGGATAGAGAAGCGTAGCGCGCGCAGCCAACTGTTTTTTATAATAACCAACTGTACAAATAACGGAACAATATCGTAGGATATTTGTACTCTACTTTGTGCAGTTGGATAATAATAACTGGTAAGTGTAATACGTCATCAATCTCTAGCACCACCACAAGTCAGTTGACACAAGAAAGACTGAATGACTGCTGGCATTTAGTTTTTAGAAGTTCTCTATGTGAAGGGCATTTTGCAAGGGTAATCTTTAGACTCGTCAAAGCGCCCACGCACAACTTCCCAGAGATTTGCTGTCGTCCAAATAGCCAATGGAACCAGGTTAGTTATCGCAACCAATATGTGTCTTTTCCATCTTTTGCGCCAAACAGCCATAACTGCGATATTCTGAAAGTGAGTCTCGATGGCCAAGGATACGCCGGTGAAAAACCATTCAATAACCAGCGGAACTGACGTATGAATTGCAAATTCCTGAAGCAGCTTTAACAATGAAATGTTTTGTAAGTAAATGAATCGGTATACGTACAACAATCCGTTAACACACACAATAGCATTTGATTCGCATAACATGCCTAAAATGGCAATATCAACCATCAGTCTCTCACGGCGAGGAGTGCGAAAACTTCCCCATGGAGCTGATCTTCTTTTCAAGATCACATGACAAATATGATCAATGAAGACCATAGTGCTTCGTTCTAAAACTTCTACCGCGCCGTGGATTATTCCAAGAACGGCGATAAGTTTGATGTTTTCAAGTTCTGCCTGCATTACTCGAAACATGATCGCTGATCCAAAATACAACGGCACTAGCAAGATGTACGAATATCCTGGATGAGCAATTTTCTTCAAGCGTTGAGTGCAAAGTCGTAAGATTACCTTAAAGATAACTGCACAGAGAGGTGAGAAGAGTGCAATAAGGAGTTTTCCATGTTCAGTTTGTCTGTTGTACATTGGATAAATAAACGATGCTATAAAGATGCCAATAAAGAAAGTGAAGCAGGAGGATGTCGTCAATTTTATAAATAAAGTCGCTCTACTCGACAGGTTCCGGAAGTGATTTGTCAGAAGATAAACTTGGCAACATCCGCTAATTAGGTAAAGAATGTTGAGAGGAATCTTCTGAATCACAGAAAGCTTGGAATGAGATATTCCTAAGACTTGAAGGACAACACGATACACTGTATCCATACAAAAGAAGACAAAAGCAACAAGAATAAGTTTTCTTTTCACGCCCTTTAACTGATACGGTCGAAAAAGAAAAAGCGTTACTACAAAGAACCACATGTAAAGAAAGGCAACACCTATCACGGCAGACAATGTTCTGATCCACTGTATTTTAACTGGGATTGTCTCCCCTTGGTGAAGTTGGCAGTTGCGTATCGTTTCGTAAGAGACGTAACAGATCATGATGTAAAAAAGGCCAATGATGGCAGGTGTTAAAAGTGAAATTAATGCACCGATGTACATTGATTGACAAACTGTGCGAAGAACGGATGGTCTGAGTCGCTTCCAAGCCATTTCGTCATTTTCATCTTGCTGTTCGTCTTCATATTCCTCTGGTGAGCTCGTGTCAATGACCCGATATCTAACTCGAGAGTTCCCTATTGACAAGAGATCATAATCGTCGTCTGATGGCGGTGAATATTCCTGATAAATAGGTTTATCAACGGGCTGACAATTCCACTCTCGACCCTCACTGCTTAAGCTATCGTCATATCCAAAGATCTCCACTTCAGGCTCATCAGGGTCGTAATGCTCTGTCACGCCGCGTGTGAAGCTGAATAAAACACGGGCAAAAAATTCAATCACCAAACTATTATTCATTATCCGCGCTACAGAGTCTTCGAGTGAACACTTGAGATCTTCGATACCGAGTGAACATGTTTCGAATAAGCTGCAGGTTTTTTACTATGATGTTTTGAAAGTGAAAGTGTTAACAAAGCAGAAACAATACTTCGGCCATCTGAATGTTAGCGAAAATATTGACTACTCCACTTCTTCACTGAAAATTTGAAGAAAAAGATGTTGACGTTCAATATTATTGATTATCTGTATTTCTATCGTTTGAATTTTAAATATATCCTCATAAAGAGGAAGTCAGAGTGAATACTTCAGCTCGTTAGCA